ACGAGGCGAGCGAGATCCAAATGCAAGAGGATCAGCAGGCGAAGGCGGATCTAAACGACTTGTCGCGCTACAATCTGGACACGTACGGCGAGGATGATGAGGATGAGGATGGGGATGGGGATGGCGTGACGGGCGGCAACAGCAACGGCAACAGCAACAGCAACATCTTTAGCAACATCAAGGGCCTGCAGTATCATCGCAACAACGATCAAGATCCCTACATCACCTTGCGCGGTGCGAGCGACTTGGAAGAGGAGGAAGCTGGGGAGAGGGAGGAGCTGCAGGTGCTGGCAGAGGACAATATGATCGTCAGTTGCAAGACGGAGGATGAGGTGTCGATGCTGGAAGTGCACATCTACAATCACCACGCAAGAGACTTCTTTGTTCATCACGATCTCTTGCTGCCCGCCTTTCCCCTCGCCCTGCAATGCCTCGACTTTCATCCGGCCGGCGTAGTGGGCGGCGACAGCAGCGTGGGGGCTAAAGGCAACTTTGTAGCCGTGGCTACCATGGACCCCACCATCGAGATTTGGAATCTGGACGTGGTAGATGGCTTGTTTCCCAATGCCATCCTCGGCAATCAAGACGCCGTCAAGGCGATGGGTATGCCAGCTGGTACGGGAAAAAAGAGTGAGTGCGCGGGCCAGCGCGTCGTATTCTCCCCCCAGAACTCTTTCTCACATCTCGCCCCCGCCCGGGCATGTAGAACGCCGATTGCCTGCTCCTCGTATTCCAAACGATGCCTACCACGTGGATGCGGTGCTGGGACTGTCATGGAACACGCACGCCCGCAACTTGCTCGCTTCCTGCTCGGCCGACAGTACGGTCAAGCTGTGGGATCTGACTCGAGCGCCCAGTGGTGGCGCTTCGGACTCCGACTCGCCGGGCGGCACCACGGCCCTTCGATCCTTTTCTCATCATACGGACAAGGTACAATCGGTAGCGTGGGACACGTCCGGTTCCTCCATCGGTGCAGTGCCCAACCCAGCAGTGCTGCTCAGCGGATCGTACGACAAGACTCTGCGCGTCTTCGATACGCGCACGCCGGAAAAGGGCTTGATGGCAAATGTGCACGAAGATGTAGAGTGTTTGACCTGGGATCCTTGGAACGCCAACAGGTTCATCGCTTCCTTCGAAGATGGCCTAGTCAAAGCGTACGACGTTCGATCCCTACCCAACGCCCCCTCCTCCTCCCCTCCCTCCAAATCCAGCGCAACGAAACAGCAACACGTCACGCAGGCGCTCTTCACCCTCGCAGCGCACGATGGAGCTTGCACCTCCGTCTCCTTTTCCAAAGATGTCAAGGGCTGCTTCGTGACGGGCGGAACGGATAAACTTGCAAAAGTGTGGAACGCCACGTATGAAGAGGAGGAGGACGCGGCGGGCGCGCAAGGCAGAGCGCCCAACGAAAGACCCAAAGAGATTGCTTTGGTCGCCAGTAGGGATTTGGACGCTGTGAGTGGGCGCGCGCATCGTAAATTCGTTTTTTTCTTTCTCTTTGTTCTTTTTTTACGGGCCCCTCGTACATTCAACATCTTTGAAAGTCTCACTCGCCATCCTTGCTCTGACCCCTCCGCATCACATCCCGTTGCAATCTTCACTCCCTCCAGGGAAAAATCTTTAGCACCTCTTTATCGCCCGACGATCCGCTCGTGCTCAGCGTAGGAGGCAGCGCTGGCAAGTTGCGCTTGTGGGATCTGAGCAGCAATGCGGGAGTGCGCAAGACTTTTGCAAAGCGCTTGCACGAGCTGCGCAGCGCTCGACTCCCCACCGACATGACGCTCGATGCGGATGCGAGTGCGAGCGCGGATGAGGAGGCAGCAAGCGTTTTGGGATTGAGCGATGGGGATGAGGAGAGCGATGAGGATGAGGATGAGGAAGCGGCGCGGGGGCGCGTGGAAGAGGACGACGCGATGAGGGAATGAGGGGAAAAAAAAAAGGATAAAATTAAATATTTCTTGCACAGCCACCTCACCTCGACTTTTTGTTTCAAACCTCGCATCAACGTCACACTGTGCACGAGCACTTTGGGGGAGGGGGAGCCAAGCAGCAGCGAAATGTCTATTTCTCCAATGTGCTACCTTTGAGCAATCTAGCCCTTATGGAGCCTCCTCCGGGCGGTCTCTCTACGATTATACCCATCTCGAACGGCATAGCCAGGTCGTCTGCTTCATCCTCTTCTGGCAAACCAAGAGCTTTGCATCTGCCCAGAATCCTCACCAGTCTTTTTCGGAGCTTCGAGAGCGCACGGCAATCGTTGCGTACTTGACGAGCGCTCAGACCATGCAAAAAGTGATCCTGAGGCGCAAAGAAAGGAGCGGCGGGGGAAGGGGCGGCGCAAACGTGTTGTTGGCCCACAACGCAAAAGGCGGTGCCGAAAGAGCAGGAGGACAAAGCACGAAGCACACTCACAGCTGCTTCGCCGCTGAACACTACGGGCAAGGATTTGCCCTTGTTCCACTTTGCCGACTCGTCCTCGTCCGATGCATCCCTCACTAGCAGGCTAAAGAGGTACTTGTAAGATAACTGAGAACCTTCTTCGTCGGCGCATGCGGCGCAAAAAGACCTGTCCTTTGGCAATCTGATACAGGGGGGAAAGAAAGGAGGCGCTTGCGTCGTCTTGAGTTGCCCGCAAATCCTCTATGTCGAGAAGCTCGCGAGGCGAGTAAGGACTTACTGTTCTTTGCAAATCTCGCACGTCACGCGAACCCAAAGATCCACATCGTCCGGCTTGCAATCCACAGCCCTGACGCGCACGCGCAATGCTCCCTTGCTCTTTTCCTCATCCTTCTCCTCAAAGATTTCGTCCAGCAAAGTGATGGGCTTGGTGTTGGACAGCATACAATGCACCGGAGCGAGACCCGGCGCGGTCCAAGTGTGCGCTGGAGAGATTGGTTCAGGCTTGATCGTCCGCTCATTGGCAGACTGCGATGCGCTCGACTCGTCTAGAAAGAGGTGGGTGGCATGACGCGCGACGCGCGACGCGCGACGCGTAAACAACGAGCCTCTTTCCTGCATTGCCCTCGATCGATCGTCGCCCGCAACTGACCTTGCGTACGACTCGCACTGCCGCTCGAATTCTGCACCTCTCCCAGCACCTCTCGGTGTCTTTCCATCGTCCGCAAGCGTTCCTGCACCCTATTCGCAGGCGATGACTCCCGCGAGGCTTCAGAAAATGTCCGACTGTGACTGTGCTCCTCCTCGGCCGCATCGGCTGCGCGCACACACTCCTGGTCGTCACTGTCCTCATCATCACGCAAATGAAGCTGCCTCTCTTGCTGTCGCTGTGCCATCACTCGCCTCTTGCGACTGATCACACGAGTGGCGGCGCGCGTGAGCTCCATGTTCACCCTTTTGCGCATGCGCATGCACACGCAGCGCAACGCAACGCAACGCAACGCAACGCACGGCACTCACTCTGCAATCTGTACAGCTTCCGGATTCTCGGGTCTGAGGACCGTAATCGTTGGCCTACCACCCAGCACGCCGCTGAGCATTCCGCCAGGCTGCTCTTTAGGTTTCAAATTCGCCATTCTAACAACATCCCCTCCACAGAGAGTTTGAGCGGCCAGAGTCTGCGCATCGAACAAGCTGACCGCACAAACATATCCACCTCCCTCTTTGTTGCCCCGATCCCGATCCCTCTCCACCTCTTCCGGCGTCATGTCTCCCAATTTGAAATTGTTTGCGCGCAAAAGCTTGGCGCTGCACGTATAGTCCGTCACGTACACCTCTGGCGGTTGCATCGTTTCCGATCGCGGTATAAACACCTTGACCACCTCCACCACCACATCGCAAAACGTTCCTTTTTGCAAATCGCAAAGTTGGATCTGCCTTCTTTTGCTGGCGGTGGCGGTAGTAGCAAGAGGCGCATCGAGGTGCCAAGCTGCTAGACTTCGCATAGCTTCCTGCTCAGATGGGCTGATCGCCTTGATCAGTGCCCTGGAAGTGACAAGTCCAGCGCTCGGGTGCAACAAAGCCCAGTCGCCTCGATCTTTGTACTTGACTCCCGCTAGCGCTTGCATCTTGATACTCCGCAGTAGCAGCACCGAACCGATAGGTGCGGGATGAGGCAGGTCGGCCGAGCTGTCCGCAAACATGTTGATGGTCAAGCTATCAGAGGGCAGAGAAGCGTCCCGAAGGCCCACTGCGAGCATGGGGTCTGTGTGTGCGCGAGTGCGATGCAAGCACGTCAGCAGCAGCAGCAGCAGCGCGCCCAACCCAACTTTCAAGTTTTCGTATGCGTGCATGCCCACCTCCAGTCCCTGAGCCGCACCGCCTAGGCTCTCGATCAGTCACAATGACTCCTAGCATGTTGAAGAGCATCCCGGAGCCTTTGCATAGCGAAAGCGGCGTGTACATCGTCTGGGGTCGTGCGTGGGAACCAGTATGCGTCAGCGATGTTGCGCTCGGCGCGCCGCCATCGGCACAACTCACCCCTCCGATGCTTCTTTTGGCTGCGGGGTCTAGCAATACGCTCTCGCTTGCTAAAGTTGCGGGGAGACGTGGCAGCGCAGCGCTGCCTCTCACATCCGGACAAGCGGGAGTCTTGAGCCATGCGGCTGCGTCTCCGTCTCCAATGGAAGGCGTGATGGTGGTGGTGGTGGTGGTGGTGCTGCTGCTGCAGGGCTGCTGCATCGCTTCCGGACTGCTGCTCGCCATGACCGCGCGCGTCGAGGCATGCTGTTGCGCCCGCTCTTCATCCACGACGCACCACAGATCCTCCTTCCACAACGCCTTGATGCGCACTGTGCCGCGTTTGTATTCGAAAATGGGCTCGCTGGTGCCGGGTTTGGTGATGGAGCACACGCTGCCTCCTCTGCTGGAAATGCAAAAGGCGCTGCAAGAGTTGGGCGAGCTCAAGAGGAACTCGGCTACGACATCAGCCAGCTCGTGGTGCACGGCCAGATGCAGTCGCGCCCCGCTCGCCGTCGTTTCGATCTGCCATCAGGAGGTGCACGTGGGGTGGGTGGCTTCGGCCTTCGTCACTCTCCTTCTCACGTGGCCGTGCCGCGCGTTGCTTGCCACTCACCAAGCACAACTCTTCATACCTTTCATTCCAGCCGCGCTTGACGCTCAGCACAGCGTCGCACTTCAAAGTCGCATCCTCTTCCTCTCCAGAATTCATCACCCGTCGCCACGCATTGATGGAATGCAACACGCCGCTCTGCGCCGCCGGCGGCGGGAGAGGTGGAACAGTTGTGGCCAATCGCGGTCTCTTGCGTGCAGAGCTTGGAGACGTGATGGATGCGTCGCGAGAGGGACCTGCTGCTGCTCCACCCACCACACTCATCACGCTCGCTGATCGCTCTTGCTCGCGCAACTGCTTGAGGCCCTTTTTCGTGCGCGTCATGTCGAAGGCAGGGCCTGCGGTGGTGGAGGATGAGGAGGAGGTGAGGGACGCAAGGCAAGCTTCAAGTTCAACGCGCAACGCAATGTAAGAGAACCCAACACGATCACGCGTTGCCGCGCGCTAGCGAGATCCGACGCGTCGCAGACCCCCCGCGGCGGAGAAGGGCGTGCGTGGGGCATCATGCATGCATCTGCTGCCTGCTGCATGCACAACAGACACTGGTGACTAACTATTCGTGATTGCTGCACTCGCACTCGCACTCGCACTCGCACTCGCACTCAAGTTCAAGGCTGCGCTTTTCGAACGTTTGATCGCACTCACCATCCCTCCATCCAGCTCGCACCGCCTCCCGTGTGCGCTTCTCCCCTATTTCGCCAAGCAAGAGCGGCCTGCACGTGGCTCTGAATCACACTCACAGGTGCTTCCAATGCCCTCCACTTAGACTATTCGGGCAAGACCGGGGGAGGCAGTCCTCGGTGCTTGTAGCAGACTTCACAACTCGATGGAGCAATGCATACAACCGTCTTTCGTAGCTCACACATAGCGCATACACTCCGACTGCGAGGCTCAGCTGGCTCGCCGACTTGCCTCGACCTGCGCAGATTAGAATTTCACGGTGGTCAAGGGACTGCATGTAATCTGCTTACGACCTCGTTCGCGCATCGCAATGTCCTTCGCAGCCGGGCTGCGAGTATCGGCACGAGCTCCAGCAGGGTCTGCATCACCAAGCGGATTGGAGCGACCGGACACCTCTGCTGAGGAGCTACGAGTGGAATTTAGAAGAATGACTTCAGAGCTCTCAGCGGCCCAACGCAAAATCAAAGAACGCGAAAAGTCGTCTAACAAAAGCAGCGATCTCGCTCGCAGGGAGAAGTCCCTCTCAGAATGCAAGCTTAGCAACGCTAAGAGGGAGCTCAAGGCAGAGGCTGCAGAGCTGGACAAGGCTCAAAACCAGCAACGCCGCTTGGAGCACGAGAACGGGTCACTACAGGAGCGTATCGCGCGTTGGGAGGAAGTCAAGAGAGTCGCTGATGAGCAGCACAAAACATCCGCACACGACCAGCACGATGCTTTGGAAAGCATGCGAAAGAAGCTCAAGAGGACAAACGAAGAGATGGCTGACTTGTATGGCTCCCTCGCTGCCCGCAATACCCGCATCAAGATTCTGGAGACGCAAAGGTCTGCGGACAAAAGCGTCGCTGAAGAAGAGCTGCAAAAAGGCTGTGCATCGTGCGCGAGAAGAGAAGGATTTAGCGCTGCAAGAGCTACGTCTGAATCTTTGGCGTGAAATCAACAAGCTTGAAGACAAGCTGAGCGAGGTAAGCACAAGGCCCAGCAATCGATACTACGCTACAAGCATAGCGCAACACTCACAAGCCGTGCGCCACTCAGATTAGCGAGGATTGCGAGGTCGGCCGTGAATGGGATTTGCAGGAAGCGAGGGACGAACGAACACAAGGCGACTCTTACGATGCGGATCCTTCACGTCGCGCCACGAGGATTGCGCTCAGAAGATTCAAGAAAAGACTTGAAGATCGTGAAAGCGACGATGATGACTCCCCCATTCGGTCCGACAGCCAGGAGTTACTTGATACCTCGGCACAAATGTGAGTCAAGCGCCGCTGACTCATCCGCATGCTACAGTCCACTGAAAAGCTATCATCACAGCGCAGGATCAATCTTACTCAAGGAAGGGCGCACCCTTGGCAATGAGAGACCGTTGGTCTTACCCAAGGAAGCGTAATTGGGTCCATTGAACAGCAGCGACGATCTTGCAAAGATGAAACCTCGCATGGGATACGGCCCTCTACGCACGTTGCAAGCCAGTTGGCACCATACACAAAGCGCGATTTTGTCGAGAAGTGCTTTCCGAGTCGCAACCCGCTAGGCCGTCGTCAGCGAGCCGGACCTTTTTCTAGTCGTTGTCAGGCCCCAACACAGACAAGCACACTCGACCATCGTAGCATTTGACCGTCAATCTTGACAAACGAGTCCCAGCGCAGATCTTGCAAAGCTATGAACAGTCATACACTGGTTGCCACCGTGGGAGATTGACGAGTCGTGATGGGCTAGGCATGCTTTGACTGGAACGAAACCGCTCTTCTCTGTGCGTGCTTGGTGATGCCTTGAAGCGACGAGGTTGCTGACTAGAATCTTGAATAGCTTGTGCTCGAGCTTTCGATTGGGGAGAAGACATTGGCATCATCTGCGTGTGCGCCTTGAGTACGTGCGTAATTTCATGGCTCGCACGACTGCACATGACCTCCGTCCGCGAACGGAGGCCGGGCGGTGCACGGGCTGTCCATCCGCGGCGTGCTTGCATGTAATCACGTGTACATGATAGAGAGTGGCACGCTCTCTTGATCACGCATCGTGCATCTATAACTCTTGAAATCTTGAATGCGCATCACACTCACACTGGACCGTCACGATGGACGTTCGTGATAAGTGGAGTCGGTCGGGAGGCTCGCATGCATGCAACTGCACATTCGGCTCTCCTGCAGATCGCCTGGTCTGAATTTTGCCCGAAAATTACACGAGCTTCGGCTGCGGTGCTCGCCATTGCGATTGCACAATTCACAATGTACGTGATTGCAGTGGGCTTGTGTAGCGCACATGAGGTTTGACCAGGGCAAGCCGGGAGCTGGCAGTGCTCTGGCGTGTTGATGAGAGCACAACCAGCGCGCGCGGTGCAGCTACGTCTTGACGAACCACCACGGCTTCCATGTGGTCAGCTTCTTGGACACTTGTTTCATCAAGTCTATCGCGTCGCTGAGGGGCGCAAGGAGGAATCACGAATGTCGAGTAGTGAGCTCGCGCTTATCGGAAATTTGAACGCGGCTTTGCACTCACCGATTCTGGCACCAAGCATATGTCTTGCCAGTCTTTAGCTGGTAGTAGTCCAAAGACACGCCAGACGAGTTGCGGCAAGCCTGATCGAAATGAAGCCGCTGGTCCGCTAGCGGCATGTTGACTGGCGTCTCAACCACTTCTACGACGCCAAAGAGAGCAAAGCGTAAGCAGCTTGCCGATAAAGGAAACACTGCGCGTCTTCACTCACGATAAAGCAACGTGGGCTTGAATTGAGCAGCGGTGTGCTGTATCAGCGCAAATTGAACCAAGACAGTGATGACTGCGACGAAAAGTGTTGCACGAAACATCGTGCAGAGAGTTGAGATTCCAATGAGCGGTGACGTGGGGGGACTGACTGAGGAGCGTAGAAGACGTCATTCGACGGTCCATATGGATGTAACATGAGGCTCCGCTTCTTTCTTATAGAGCAGCTGACTACTCTTTTCCCGCCGACATCTTCTGGGATGACCGCCAAGCTCTCGGCCATGATACGCGTGCAAGGTCGATGCACAGCCAAGAAAAGAGCCAAGGCGCATGCAAAGAGATCCACAGCTTTGAGCAACGGTCCTCAAAGAGGTGCGATTGTGACATGAAGGAGCGCGGAACCAAAGCTTGGCAGACCAAAACGCGCCGCGGAAGCTATTTGCGCAGTACGTCTTCCTTGGCCATCAATGTCGTTCGTGACTCGCGTCTCGTGACGATGACACGCTGCACCAAACACAGCTAGGTGGTCTGCGCCGGTCCGCTTGGCACGGCCATGCACGAGCATCAGCTTACGTCAATTGGCTGCTGGTAGATTAAGTGGGCTACAAAGAACACGGATGAGGCGGAAGCGATCACTGCGCGCCATCTTTTGCACGACCAAGAGCGGCAAAGTAGACTCTGGGCGTTGTGATTGATCGAGAGGACGTCTTCATTGGGCCGAAGACGGGTGAGGCGCTCGCACCCGAAAAGCACACATGTTAAGCGCAAATACAAAGCGGTTCGGCAGCGCTGTGCACTGCGCTGAGGTGGTAGAGTGCAGTCAGCCAATGTGCGGCTGGCATAAGCCGTCGCTCGTGCTTTCGAAAGGGCTGCCGATCGTCGCGGCCCCGTCGGAAGCATTGAAGCAGTCGTAGCCAATTCCAACCCGTTCCCGATGATGCCGCCTTGTGGAACGTTTCCGTGCCTTGCCAATCTGTCGCACAAAGGCCACCCGCGGACCGGACGCTCATCAAAAGTTCGCAGTGTGGCGCATGGAGATTATGAGGCTTTGTTGGGCTTGTACTCCGGCGCAGACCCGTGCAAGATCGTAGTTTCGCCCCCGAAATTTCCGTTGCTTTGTGCTTGCCCGTACTGGACTGGCCAAGGGCTAAATGCTGACAAAGCCAAGCAGTGTCTCTCACCTCGCGCTGCACGCGGTACTTGCGCATATAAACCTCTTAACGAGCGGCGCAAAGAACTCCGTGCTCCCATCTCCCTCGGTCGCTCGATCTCTCTTCTCAAGCAGGCGCTACTCCTCCCTCGCTCAATCATGCTTCGAGTGCCACACGTTCTGCACGCTGCCGTGCTGTCAGTCATCCTCGCGCGCGTCGCTGCGGACAACGAGATAATGATTGTACGCCCTTACAGTAAGTTTTGACGAGGTCCACGGAGGCCGTCGAGTCGAATCGTGTCATTGTGAACCTGATGTCGATCCCGCATGCATGCCTGCAGAGGTACTCAGTCACCCCGCCGGTCTAGACCCCAGCGCCCAGTGGACCGCTTACACCCAAGCGTGCACAGCAGCGTCGGGCACGATGATGAACTACGACAAGCCCGTCTATTGTCAGAACGGGTGCGTGCAGAGTCTATGTTCTCGCGAGAAGCATCGCCGAGTACATGCAGAGCTCGACTTTTATCCTGCTGACGCGTGTCCCCGACCTTGGCTGTGGTGGATCGCAGCCAAAGTGACCAACATCCGTTGGCTGTGCAGCATTTATCGAAAGACTGGTCATTTACCGAGTGCTGCCTTGGGCCTGCTCCGTGTTCGCATGTTCCCGTGTACTGTTGAGACAGTGGTAGAGGGGTAAGAGCGGTGCGATCACATTTGGCGAGGATATTGTAGAATTCAATGTTCTCTGTTCTTGATGCCCCCTGCGGTCTCAAGCGACCAATTGCATCCACAAGATGTTACATGTCGAGGACGGTCCGAGTGACGTGTATCGAATGCAGACCTTGAACGTCTCCTTGCCTGGGGTGCCAATCTCGTTTTAAAGCGGCGGGTCAGCAATCGCTCTCTGGGTAAGCCGCGATAGCATTCATTGCGTTCAACAGCATCGATAGATTCCAGGGTGCATGAGTAGCCCGGCGGAGTTTGGATGGCGAATGATGCTCATGTGCGCTTGTCTCATCCATCGCTCTGCACCCTTTACCAGCTGATCGACTTGATCTCGATTGTGGTATACTTTGTTCCCCCGAACGTGCGATTGCGAGAGCAGACTCGAGGCTACGCTCGACTCGCCTCTCACCGCGCAAGCTGTACCACGCAAGAGCAAAGACTTGATGGAGATGGCTACACCAGTTGTCGCTTTGAGTGAGTCTGCTCATACAAGTAGCTGGTCGGCACTGCCGAGCTGGCCACTGGAAAACAACTTCCAAACATTGTCCTAAATCGATCACCAGTGTTGTATGACATCCTTCTGTCGTCGACGTAGTGCTGAACCATTGCATTGAGATTCGGATTTTCGGCGCTCGTCGTGAATGCACACAACCCATCACGAACGTGGAGCCGTTGTTCCTGCAACCGGAAGTGATTGCCACGGCGTCGATGATTGCGCGGCGGAACGTTTGGCAGTGTGATAGGTGGAGCGCGGACGCGGTACCGTCCCAAAGTGCCGCTTTGTGAAGACGGTTCGTCATAAGCGCCGTGTTACCTTCTTGTCTGCGGCGGCCCGGGTTAAGCAAACACGCCCTCGAGGCGTAGAAGGGGATAAGAAGTGGCTTCCGATTGTCGTCGCATGCCCTCGATGCCGCGCCGCTAACAAGAAAAGCACCGAGCGAAAAGGTATAAGTAGAGTCTCTTTGTCGCCTTAAAACCTCGCCCGCCCTCCTCACCAACGCAGAATTCCTCGAACAACCAAGACACTTACTCCTCGAGACGCCTTTAGAGTATGTTTCGCATCTCGTCTGCATTTGCCCTGGCTCTGGCCGCCATCCTAATGACCAGCCAACAGGTCGCCGCTCTGCAGCAATATTGTGAGTGTATCGCACCGAAATGTGGCACCATTCACATGTTATCAGATCTGATATCGACCCTCGCTTGCCCTTTTGCCGTTGGTAGCCGTCGTTTCAGCCCCAAAGCTGACCGACAAGCAGCTGCTCCAGATTTACGTATCGACCTGCCAAAATCTTCGGGCTACTTCAGGGCACTATCCCACTCCAGTGTACTGCGATAAAAAGTGAGCTAGACGTGTCTTTGACCAGGTTTGGCTTGCGAAGCTCATCAGGTGTCTTGACATTTACGCAGCGGGCAGGATATTCACTCGCAGGTGGTGGCCGCGCTCGGCGCAGCTGGCTATACCAACTGGACGTTCAGGCCGAAATAAGCAAGACGCGATGCGCCGCTCTCCTGGCTTGCCGATTTCATGACGAGGTTGGGCGCAGGACAACGGATCGCCGATTCCTGCAAGAGGTTCAAAGGCACGAGCGGGACGGAATTAGACTTGCAAGAGGCACGGGACCACTCCGCAATGTCTTGCGAACGTGAGCTCAACTGAGCTGCTTGAACAATCACATGTCGAAGAGCTTGATCGCCGAGCGTGTTGCATGAACCTGTTCATCCCGGCTGAGATCACTTGCACTTCCGTATCCAACACCACTCGTCGCGCTGTTTCTGGATGGAAAATTTGACATTGACGCACGGAACGCGCGGTATTGTGATTGCAGGGCGTGCAAGTGCTGCGCTCTCCAGCTCTCTCGAGATGACGGCTCACTCGTAGGCCTCCTTGCCCTTGCTACCCTTCTCCTGCGCAGCCACATTGAACACCGCCCTGACCTTTTGCTTGTCGCTCTTGGCACCCTCGGCGTCCTCGCGCAGCTTGGCAACCTTTTCAGGTTCCTCTGCGTCGACGTACGCCTGCACGAGATTGTCCAGAGCATCGAGCTGCTGCTCAATGACGCTAGCACTGGGTGCGCCGTCAGCAAAGTAGTTGAGCGAGACGACCAGATCGCGCAGTGCCTTTTTGTGCTTCTTGAGATTCTTCTTGGCAGCATCGCGTGCCTTTTTGGCATCGGCGCGGGCGGACTGCGAGGCAAAGGATGCGTCAGCTCTTGTGTTGAAAGTTGCAGACCACGTCCGCACTCACCTTGTCCTCCTCCTCCTTTTTGGCAGACTCGGCCTTGGCTTTTGCTTCCTCTTCCGCTTTGGCCTTCTTCTCCGCCTCGACATCCGCGGCGGACTTGGTGGGCGCGCCGCCTTTGCCCTTCTTTTTGGCCTCGCGGGCAGCCTTCTCTTGCTGCTTGAACAATTTGATGCGGGGATCGCTCGCCAGCGCCTTGTCCACCACATTCCTTAGGCGCGCATTGTCCTCCTTCTTTCTGCGAGCGCGCTCAGCGCGGTTCTTCTTGTCGATGTAACGACGGTGATCGCGATTCTCATCGCCTTCCGTCACGTCCTTGTCCAGATACTCAAACGTGCGCCACGAGTCAAAGTTGTAGAAAAAGTCGTACAGACGGTCCACATGTTCGCGCGGACTGTCCATGTCGCCCAGCTCCGGCACCGCGCCATTCTTTGGGTTGCTGAAACGAGCCTCGCGCTCAAAGACTGGTCGCCAGAGGTCAAAGAATTTCGCCTCGGGCTCCTTGCCGGTAGGTACCTTTTCATCGTCGATGCCTTCGTCCACCGAGTCGAATTGACGTCGACGTTCTGGATTGGATAGCACATCGTGAGCTTTGGCGATGCACTTGAAAAAGGAATCGTCGTTGGTGCCTTCCGAGCCGGCTTGACCCGCCTTTTTGTCTGGGTGATGCTTCAAGACCTTTTTGCGGTGAGCAAGCTTGATCTGCGCAGGCGTCGCCTTGTAGCGCAGAGCAGACAGACCGAGCACGGCGTAGTGGTCTTGACTCTGCGGGGGCGGGGGCGCGAGTGAGTGCGTGCGGGTATGCGCCACGTCAGCACGTGTGCGCGCAGCGCAGCTTGGGAAACTCTCCTCGCGCGCCGCTCACCTTCCACTCTTTTGGGTCGCTCTTTAGCAGACGGGGACTCTCCTCCTCGTCACCAATGTCATCCACGATCTCCTCTTCATCTCCTTGCGCATCCAGCTCGTCCAGTCGAGCCTTTTCGTTGAGATCATCCTGCTCAAAGGTGAGCTGATTGACCTGCCTGCGCACGTGCGACACGTAGGACGGACCAGCTGCTAGGAGCGTCGAGGTGCTGGGCGCGCTGAGGGAAGTGGGCGCGATGGGTTTGTGACCTGACGGTGCGCTGGGAAGCGCGAACGGCAAAAGTTGAGGCGCCGTCATCTTTGCTGGGGCGGGAGCGGTGGTGGTGGTGGTGATCGATGGGTTGAGAGCATTCTGCGCGTGCCCTCACTCACACTCACTCACGACTGCCCCGCCAAGAAGAAAATTTCAACTTTCGACTCGCGAGGCACGTTTGCGCGGACTCGCATCACGTGATGCGATGCGATGCGATGCGATGCGATGCGATGCGCGCGCATGGGCCACCACCCGTGACTTTTGACGCTTGCGTGGCGACCGCGCGCGTCCTCTTCGACTTGCGACTCGCGACTCACGACTCGTGCCTTCGACTACGGCGGTTATTTTCCCCCGCAATCTCCTCGTCAACCATCCTTTCCTCGCCTCGCCTCGCATCGCACTGCACTGCGCTCCTCAGATCACGCACGCCTGTCATTGCTTCGATCGTCTCTCATCGCACGCCGCTCTACCTCTTGCGCCCACGATGGCGTCTCAAGGAACAGGCTACGACCTCTCCTCCTCCACCTACTCACCAGACGGCCGCATCTTTCAGATCGAGTACGCAACCAAAGCGGTCGACGGAGCGGGCACGGCGATCGGCATCAAGTGCAAGGATGGCGTACTGCTGGCAGTGGAAAAGCTGGTCAGCACCAAGTTGCTCGTTCCCAGCGCCAAGGGTGCCAGCTTGAACAGGCGCATCGCAGCCGTGGACAGGCACGCCGGTCTCGTGAGTGCATGCGAGCTCGGGTGCGGGGTGCGGGGTGCAGTGTGCATGCAAAGGGGGAACAGATTGCTGACTGTGCTTGCGACCTCTTGGACAGACCACCGCGGGTCTGTCTGCTGATGGCAAGCATCTCTCCAACCGAGCGCGCGACGAGTGCCTCAATTTTCGCGACACGTTTCGCCAAGCGTCGCCCCTGCACGTGTTAGCCGAACGTCTATCTCTCTACACGCAGGCATACACCCTCTACTCTTCCGTTCGCCCATTCGGTATCAGCACCATTCTGGGCGGTGTCGACGAGGATGGTCCCAAGCTGTACCTGGTCGAGCCTAGCGGCACTTTCTGGGGATACAAGGCTTGTGCGGTGGGCAAGGGCAAGCAGTTGGCAAAGACGGAATTGGAAAAGTTGGACTTGGCGACATTGTCGACGGAAGATGCGGTGCAAAAGGCCGCGGATATGTGAGTGGAAGTAAAGAGCGTGCGAGGTGCGTGCTCTGACGCACGCATACATGCTTTCCTCGCAGTATCTACAAGGTCCACGCGGAGAATAAGGACAAGGATTTCGAATTGGAGATTAGCTGGATCGGACCCAAGAGCGGAGGCGTCTTTCAACCTGTCCCTGCTGAGATCGTCGCTGTGAGTCGGCGCGGAAGGGGGAAAACACTCTGTCCAGCTCCGTTATTGTGCTTCCCTGACAATCTCGCACCCCCGCGCACCTCTCATAGGAAGCAGCGCAAAAGGCAAAGGAGGCGTTGGACGACGAGATGGAGGACTAGATGTGCATCTATGGGCCCCCCCCGGGCATGTCACTCACCTCCAGATGCAATGCGATGGTATGACAGTCAGGGTGTGAGTTGCGGAGCGGCGTGTGTATGCGCACGGCATGCGCGCATGGTAATGAGCGCGCCTAGGTGAGTGTGTGTGAGACAAGTGCGCTGCGAAATGGTCAGTTCTCCGGACGTGACAAGCTCTGCGCTCCTCGATGCTCTCTCAGCTTGGCTGCCACAATTTGCCGCCGGCTGATTGTTTGCCGGTGCCGCTTCGCTGCTGACCATCTTCTACGTTGGACTTGGGATCATGCAAGGCACTCGGGGCTTCGTGTGGATCTCTCGCTCATCTGCATCTCGCCAGAGGCATACCCAGGAAGCAATCGAGCGCCCTAAGCACCTGGGGAGCATCGCAAGACCTTTTTGTGAGCTGAGCGCACGTCGGATTACCTGAGGGGACGCCCCGAGTGAGTTGCCCATGTTGAAAAGGTAGGGCCGCGGTCACCCGCTCACATTGCTCACGAGCCTTGCGCTGACACCAACGCAGATCCGGGCCACGCTCGAGGCTGAGACTTGGCCCACGCAAGATCGGTACTTGCCTTGCATGCGGCCGAGGGACAGTGTAAGTGCAATGCGACGAAGAAGAGGTCGAGATGACCGTATAGCTTTGAGACTGGCAAAAGTTGAGCGGCTGTGTGGGCCGCCAAAAGCTGGAAAGCGGGCCACGCCGCGTCGACCACTCCACACATGCTCGAGCCGCGGATGGACTGTTTGGCTCACTTTTTCGTACCGGGAGACGCAAGAGCCGCGTTCTTCTCGTCGTCCTCGCTGTCCTTTGGCAGACGGCAGGCATCACTCCAGCCACCGGACATTGTCGTCCTCTTCAGCAGACTGCAGGTACCCGTCCAGCCATCTGACATGCCACGCCGTGATGCATCGCTCACGCATCAAGGTGTCGAGAGCGTCGCGTAGATCGCTGCGCTTCGTGTGGGACAAGGCACGCGATGCCATAGGTCATCCATCGCTCTCGTCACAAGCGTGCTAGGGTACGTTGCGTCAGGCTAAAGATCAGATGCAGAGTCTTGACAGATTGACAGGGTACATAATATCAACGGCTCAGCGCGCGAGGTAGCTCTTCTCGTGGGAGTCTATTCAGCTACATTTCCAACCACAGCATTGCTCAACAGCATCACGTCGACGCTCGAATCGATCTTTGCTGTGACGCTGCGAAGCAGACACCAACGTGGGAACCACATGTCGCTAAGCTCGCCCGCGACGCGACGTTTGCTTCTCAGACGCCAGCCTCGATGTGCTCTCGAACGACGCTTGTCCAACTTGGCGATATTCGCACAGCCTGAAGCAAGCGCTAGTAGAATGTCGGAGTGCTCGAGAAGGGAAGGGTTGCTCGAGAAAGAAGGGCTGCGTACATTAGGCCACCGCTTTAAAGATGCTCAAGAGCGCCTTGTCACCGCGTCGAGTTCACACGGGTCCTCTTTGGCGCGCCCACGATGGCGAGGTGATCCCGCTGCACGAGCTATGCCGAGGTGCCTCGAGCAGAGCTCGCTTCGAGGGATGAGAATCGCACGCTCCCTCTTGCGCAAGGCACAAGACTTTTGCAAACAAGCTTTGCCGGACCATGTACGTGTGACGTGTGAGCGAGATGCAGCAAGCGCGAGCGGGAGCTGACGACTACGCGCGAGTCGTCATACCACGACACTTTTGGCCTCGGTCCTCGAACGACGAGGCTTGTCAGTGGTCGAGCCCGTACATATGGGTCGCATTCTTTACGGCGCAAAACGGAAGCGGCTCGTCAGACGCACTCAATTGACGCGAGGCGAGAAGTCGATTGACTCGATTGACTGGATTGACCTCAAACTTGACTCGAGTCAATATGCAGTCAATGCAGTCAATCAAATGCAGTCAATTGCCTCGAGTCAAACAGGTGGCTGCAGTCAATCGAGCGGTCAACTGACGCGAGTCAATCGAGTCGATCAAGTCAGTTGACCGAGTCTGAAGAGTCGATTGACTCGAGTCCAAAAATCAGACACGTAGAAGTGACTGAGTCAATGAGGTCAATCGACGCGAGTCAAAAACAGTCAATCGAGTTAAGAAAAGTCAACCGAGTCAATTGATATGAGTCAATGCAGTCAATCGAGTCAGTTGACATGAGTCAATCCAGTCAATCGAGTCAGTCAATCAAGTCAATCATGTGACAGACGCGAGTCAACCGAGGCAGTCAATCCAGTCAATTGAGTCAGTCAATTCAGTCAATTCAGTCAATCAAGTCAATGCAGTCAGTCAATGCAGTCAATTGACTCAATGCAGTCAATTGAATCAAAAATTGAGAATTCTTTTGAGTCAAAAAGTCAATCAAGTCAATAATCAGGTCTGACTCGAGTCAAACAAGTCAGGGAGGGTATCGACTCGTGCGTTCAGCGAGTTAAAATTCGCGCTTCAATTGTTGAACTTGTCAAGCGGGGCATGGTAAGTGTCAGTCAGCAAAAGCCATGCATGGTATTCATGATTGAGAAGGTGACGCGTACAGTGGATGCGTACGTAGGTGCGCGCGCGCCGTGACAGTGACATCAGCGCACAGTAAGTACATTAGAAGAAGGACCGTTAGTGCGTGTTAATGGGGGAATGTTAGTGCGTGTAAATGAGAGGGCTATGAGGAGAGAGAGTCAGTCAGTGAATGAGGGGGATGTTGGTGCATGTAAATGAAAGAGCTGTGAGGAGAGAGGGTCAGTCAGTGAATGAGGGGAATGTTAGTGCGTGTAAATGAGAGAGCTATGAGGAGAGAGGGTCAGTCAGTTGATGAGGCGCATATTAGTGCATGTTATTGAGAGAGCTGTGAGGAGAGAGGGTGAGTCAGTGAATGAGGGGGCAATGGAGAAAGAGGAGAGGAAGTACAAAAGCAGGGCAGTGAAGCAATGAAAGTTTGGTGGAGCAAAGTGAAGATAGGCAATTAGTGCAAGTAAATGAGAGAGTGTGGTGGGATGCAAAGCAGTGCAGGGACGTGCAGTGAAAGTGGGCAAGGAGTAAGCAAGTGAGGAGGTGTTAGTGCAAGTAAATGAGAGTGGGGTG